TGTGGCATTGCAAGTAAAGAGAAGTCATCCAGAAAACGGCCTCACAGTCATAATGGGGGTGACACATTGCTCTTAATAAGACTAGTAGGAAGCGGGCGAAGTGGCAGATGTAGTGTTAAAAAGAGTACTTAAAGAAGTTATGAAGAGGCGGCACGCAAAGATCGCACTCGTCACACTTCCGTAATTTCAAACAGAAACATCGGTCCCCGTCCCCACCCACCCCTTCCGCCACTGTCGGCGTCTCACTAGAGTTGCCAGGAGGGCGCGTTACGTCTAGGGACAGTCTAGCATCGACATGGGACTGCATCCGAAGTGTTCGCGCTAGAGGAATTATTGGTCAACGGCCCAACGGCTCCGGGTAGCGTGCGAATAGACCTGCTGGCGGCCAGGCGGGCGGGTGACCATTCAATTCCATCTAAATCTATAGCAAAAGCACAGGTGCTACTTTGCCGCTGTTATTTTGCCCACTTCGTTACTTGGGAGTGTAAAACTCCACCCCCGCGCATGTGATGCCAGAGCACACTGGCATTGATGACACAGCACCCACAATGTTTCAGGACTGTCATAATTGACCATTTCACTCGGCGGACGAACTGGCGGTCCTCCGGTTTGTACAACAAATGTTTGTGGCTCTTATGGAGGCAGCCTAATATGCGGTTTCTGCTTGGCGACGGGCTCTCTCACAACTAAGCAACGATCAGGGGTCACATTTAATTAAAAATTCCAATCCTTTAGTAGATCATAAAAGACGTTGTACCAACCAGAAGACGACAGTGTGGCCACCGGGTGAAATGGTCATTTGGCTGCTTAAATGGGTAAGGGCTGGTAGCATTATGTACAATCCAAGTGTGAAGTGATAATATTGTTACCAATAACAAGCAGGCCGGCGGCGGCGACTAAGATTACCACATTACCCAAGATTATTACCACCTTCTTCTAGTTATACAGCAAATACCAAATTTCTGGGAATTTTTATTGATGACAATCTAAAATGGAGCAAGCACATAGAAGAACTGGAGACAAAATTATGTAAAGCAATTTTTGCCATCAAGAAAATGAGAGAGATAGTTGATGCAAAAACTGCAATTATTACCTATCATGCTCTCTTTCGTTCTTTTCTATCTTATGGTGTGACAGCCTGAGGTACTCACCTCGTACTCTTGATATTTATAAGCTGCAGAAAAGAGCTATTAGAGCCGCATGATGAGAATTCCACAAATGCAGAGCTGTAGAGACCACTTTAAAAACCTCAATATCCTAACATTTCCCTCACTCTACATTTTTGGAAAGTTAAAATTTGTGCACCGAAACCTTTCAAAATTTTCTATCAATTCTGATTTTCACCACCACAAAACTAGACAAAATGCTGCACTACGACCACAAAAAAAACCACATGCATTTCACAAAATGACATCTTCCATAAAGGACCTTTACTGTATAATAAATTGCCATCTAGAGTTAAGCGCTTAAACTATGTTACCTTA